TCGGTGACGCTGGAGGAGCAGCCGTCGGGGATTTACCGCTACAGCTGCTGCGAGGAGGACACGGGGACAGGGACGGGGACAGGGACAGGGACAGGGACAGGGCCGGGTCCCTTCGGGCTCTTCCAGGGCCGCCAGAGCGGGGACATCTTTGAGGAGGCCAAGAGGGAGCTCATCAAACTCATGAAGATCGAGGTGGGGGCAGTGGGGTCCTGGTGGGGTCAGTGGGGTCCTGGTGGGGTTGGGGTGGGGTCCTGGTGGTTTCTTGTGGGTCTCTGTCACTTTTGGGGCATGTCCCCATTGTCTCAGGGTGGCCTCCATGACTTTGGTGTGGCCCCAATCTGTTTGGGATTGTCCCCCATCACTTTGGGGTTGCCCCAATTGCCTCGGGGTGGTCCCCAATCTCTTTGGGGTGGTCCTCCATCGCTTTGGGGTGGCCCCAATCTGTTTGGGATTGTCCCCCCTCACTTTGGGGTGTGTCCCCATTGTCTCATGGTGGCCTCTATCGCTTTGCGGTGGTCCCTGTGACCTCAGGGTGGTCCCCCATCACTTTGGGGTGGCCCCAATTGCCTCGGGGTGGTCCCCAGTCTCTTTGGGGTGGCCCCAATCTGTTTGGGATCGTCCCCCCTCACTTTGGGGTGGGTTCCCATCCCCTCCTGGTGGTCCCCATGGCTCTGTGGTGGCCCCCGTGGCCCTCTGCCCATCCCGTCCCCTCTCGGTGACCCCACAATGTCCCCATTTGTCCCCGCAGGACCCCTCTCTGCTCAACAACCGCGTCATGCTGCACCACGCCAAGGGTGGCACTGTCATCGCCCGTCAGGGGGACCAGGTGGGTGCTGGGGACGGTCCCCTCTGTCCCCCTGTCCCGTGGATGGGGACAGGAACAGCCCCAGAGCCACCGGTGGGGACAGGAATGGCCCCAGAGCCACCGAGGGGGACGAAAACCACCCCAGAGCCACCAGGGGGGACAGGAACAGCCCCAGAGCCACCAGGGGGGACAGGAATGGCCCCAGAGCCACCGGGAGGGACAGAAACGGCCCCAGAGCCACTGGGGTGGGGACAGGAATGGCCCCAGAGCCACTAGGGGGGACAGGAATGACCCCAGAGCCACTGGGGTGGGGACAGCCACGAGATCCTGGTGACGGGGCCGTCCCCACGCCGTCCCCACGCCGTCCCCACGCTGTCCCCACGCTGTCCCCACTCTGTCCCCATGGGTGATGGGCTGTCCCTGGGCTGTCCTCACGCTGTCCCCACACTGTACCCCCTGTCCCCAGGATGTCAGCCTGCACTTTGTGCTGTGGAGCTGTCCCTGGGCTGTCCCCATGCTGTCCCCATGGTGACACACCTGTCCCCCCAGGATGTCAGCCTGCACTTTGTGCTGTGGGGCTGTCCCCGGGCTGTCCCCGGGCTGTCCCCACGCTGTCCCCACACTGTCCCCACACTGTCCCCACACTGTCCCCTCTGTCCCCCGAGGATGTCAGCCTGCACTTTGTGCTGTGGGGCTGTCCCCACACTGTCCCCACACTGTCCCCTCTGTCCCCAGGATGTCAGCCTGCACTTTGTGCTCTGGGGCTGCCTGCACGTGTACCAGCGCATGATCGACAAGGAGGAGGACGTGTGCCTGTTCCTGACGCAGCCGGGCGAGCTGGTGGGCCAGCTGGCCGTACTGACGGGCGAGCCCCTCATCTTCACCATCAAAGCCAACCG